GAGCAGAGAAGAAGAAGAAGGAGGCCGAGGATAAGAAGAAAAGGAGGCAGAGGCCAAGAAAAAGAAGGAGGCAGAGGACAAGAAGAAGAAAAACCAAGGAAAGAGGGAGGTGACCTGGCAAGCCTAAAGCAGTATATAGACTGTGTAGTGGGACCTGGATGAGGCAGAGAGGCCATCCTCATGGGGATCCAGGTGTTGCGGGACGTGGAAGTAGGCCTGTCACCCAGACGTTGGTTCCTAGTACAACTCAACAGTTTGTAATGGCGTGAGAGAGGAATGGCTGGTGGTGGGGCGGCGTTATATATAGTGGGATTTGAAGATGTTGGAAAACTTGTTTCTTACTCTATCTTGTGATGTTAGCCTTATTAATATAACCGTCCGCAACTTTGAAGAAGCTTTGTATGTTTAGGATCAAGTAATCTTACGACAATATCAACCATGAACCTAAATAAGCCTAGGAACAAGAAAAAGATGTATCTTAACCACTGCCATGATATCTATTTTTCCATCATACATAGCCGTCTTGTGTCCACAGGCCGGGAGATAAATAGTCAAAGACCGCCTGAAGCTCAATTCCAGCCTGAGCATATGCTACCTGTAGCTTTGCATGCTCTTTCGTGCGTTTCTCCCTTGTAGCTGGAGAGCACACCATCTGCCGGATTATGATGCGCTTGAGGTTAGGAGAATGTGAATGCAGGTCATCCAGCAAACGCCACACACAGTCATAAAACTCCGATTCTGACAACCCCCGAAGCACTTCTTCACAGTCCCAGTGAAGACACAGTTCTTCCAGTGTAGGCGGCAAGAAGCTCCCAATATTAACAGTATTGTCCGTATTCATTCCTGCCAGGAGGGTAATCGGGACCTCTGCAGAGCGTAGACGGGGAAATTTCTGTAAAAATCCTTGGAATTGTTCTCTTGAGTATTCATCTTGGCAGTCAAAAGAATAATATCCCTCGTTGTATGGGTAATACTCTAGCCCTAAGGATAGTGTTTCCACAGTCTGACTAACAGACTCCAGGCCTTCAATGATAAAATCTGGAACTTCCAGGATTATCTCATCATGCCATCGATATGCTAGGCCCAAATGGAGCATTTTCAGAGAGGCCATTTGGGCCAGTATGTCTTGTACTTCATCATCTGTAATTGTTGTACGAGCAAGAACAAGTGTCTGCAGCTGGCCGAGATTAGCCTGCTGGCTGTTATAATCAGCAATAACATCCTGAAAGCTCCGTAGCCAGATTGATAAGGATTGAATGGCTGGTAAGTAAAACCATGCCATAAATTGAGCAGGGTCACACAGAGGGTAGCCGGCTGTGGTATCAAAATCATTATATAGACCATCAAACTCCTCAGCGATGGGCACATTGCTGCCATAATCCACTATACTAAGGTGGGTAAATCTTGATAGCAGGCCTTCTGGGGCGGAAAAAAGGGCATGTTTCATCATTAGCCCTGGAAATCCCAGCTTCCAGATAAAGGAATAGTCCAGTCGAAGAGATTTTAAATCGTGTAACTGGGAGAGCAAAATGGCGACAAAGGCATAAGGATTGCCATCCCCAAGAGCTTCATTCCACTTTGATGCGTCGGGAAATTCAGCGTTCTTAACCAGTGTCTGGGCAAGCTCCACTACGTCCGCAAAACCAACGGTTGCGTCCTTCATAAACTCGGGCTTCACCTTGGCTTGATTCCAGTCGTGCAGAAGGGCATTTCTTGGGGGAGACATAATAGTGATATGATGTATTAACAGGGCTAGTTCTGGATTCTGCAGGACAGTTCGCAGCAGTTGGAGGATGCGTTCAACGGGCACTGATTCCCATTCCCAAGAGACCCTATTATAAACCAAGGGACGAAGAGATATATGCAGGTCTCTGCATACTGCAGAAAGTGACACGATGTCGCCCGGCCTTAAAAAGTCCGTGATGGCTATCCAACAATCCATTGGCAACGTAGGGAACATACTGGGCGGTGTTAGTGGGGCGCAGTCTTGGTCCATTCGGTGCGACTTACTTTTGCATGTGTGGTGACTTCAAATGATTAGTAGCTTCCATATTAGTTGTCGCAGTAATTGATGGTGAGCGTCAGGAGTGAACTTATACCTAAGTTTATGGCCCCCATTTTTGTGAATTTTGTTTGACCCACTATGATGAATGCCTGAAATCCCGACGAGGACTAAGTAACTGACGGCTGAGAGAGATCGTCGCAGCCCCGTAGCCGTGGCCTACATATCTGGTCTCTATGGTTCGCCGTAGTATTTGTACTATATGTTTCCCTAGGCTATACTCGGTCCATCCCCACAACGCTTAGTGCTATCGATGGGGGCTCATAGCAGCCACTCCGCAACAACGGCTCTCCTCATTAAGTCTATTTACCGACTAGGAATACACTGTATCGCAGGATATTATATCAAAGGGGCTTAAGAAATAAATATTCTATAGATTCTTTGACGTAAAGTAAAAAATTAAGTACTATTTCTAAGAAAGTCTAAGTAGAAATACTGAAACAAAATGTAAGGATAATACCGATGGTATATATTGTCTACGCTAAAATAGCTTCCGCAAACTTACTGTCTTTTTACTAAGCTTGGTTTAGGGGCTACAGTAGATAGACTTTAGGGGCTGTAGTGCCTAGTTTTAGGGGTCATAATACAATCTATTACATATAGTGTACAGCTATTTCTCAAGTCATTTTTGTTTTTAATAGCTACACTTTATAGAGAAATATATAGAATACATCTATTTCTCAGTATTTATACTGATGTCTTATGACCAAGTACAGGGATCCTAAATACTTGGGAGTAAAACAGGATGTCTGCGGGCAGAAATCGATAAGAACCCGTTATTGTGGAGTGGGATGTACTACTTATAATAAAACCTTTTACTCTGAACGATCTAAGCTAACATTATCAATATAACCATCCACAACTAGCAGTACACGCCATTCAACTATAGTTTGCTAGAGCCCGCCGGAGTCGGTACAGGAAACTTAGAGATATCGTCAGTCGTCTTTCCGTCAATAGCGAGCTCTGCCACCACGCGGCCGATAGCAGGAGCGAACTTGAACGCGTGACCATTACCCAGGGCGACAATAATGTTGGGGTTCTTTTGAATCGGGCCAATAATGAACTGACGGTCTGGCGTGATAGAATATTGACAGGTGACGGTTCGCAGGTCCTGACCATGACCGGGGATGATAGTATCCATGTGGTCCTTGAGAGTCTTGAATGCCTCGGGTGAGGGAACAAAGGTACGATTATCAGGCGACATAATATTCATCTGGGCATCCTGGCCTGCCTTGATGGTTGGCTCGCCGTAGGTCGGGAACCCGTAGAACCATTTCTCGCCGCCCCAGATCCACACGGGGAATCGCTCTGGTTCGTAAAGAGCTGGGTTCGCTGGTTTGAAGTAGGTGATCTGCTCCTGCATGACGGTAAGGGGGATCTCGGCGCCAAGTGGTGCCAGAAGTTTGTTGATCCATGCGTCGGCGGCAAGGATCACTTTTCCAGCGCGGACTCGTTCCTTGGACGTTTCGATGATCACTCCGTCGCCGTCTGGTATCAGGCGGTCCACGCGCGTCTTCTCTCGTAGGACTGCCCCATTGGCGCGAGCTTGGTATTGCATGGTCGTCACGGCTTTGGAAGCATGCACGATACCCGTATCTGCCGTGTACACGGCGTCAATCCCCTCGGGGATGTTGAACCCGGGCCAGCGTCGATTGACTTCCTTGGAATCGAGAAGCTCGTAAGGAACACCATTGGCGTCGAGACTCCTTGTGAAGTCGCTGGAGGGGGTTGGTCCGCCTCTAGGAAGGAATACAACGCCGCCAGTTATGTCCAATAGGTTCAAACCTGACCGTCTTTCCAAGTCGGCCCAGTCTTTGTACGCGGACCGTGCAAGCGCAACGAATTCGGGGTTGCCGTATGAGGTTCTTACGATACGCGAAGTATCATGGGAGGCTCCGCGTACATGGCCCAACTCGAATTGTTCGAAGCCGATGACTTTGGCTCCTTTCACGGCTGCTTGGTATGCTGCTCCGCTTCCGAGGGCACCAAGGCCGACAACGGCAACATCATATCGTTCCATGGCTGTTTTGTCGGGAAGCTGAGAAGGAGATGAAAGAGAAGAAGTTTGGACCACTGAGGGTTGAATGAGTAATAGCATATGAGGTCGTCAGTACGAGGCATATATATACCTTTTTGCGTCCTATGGTATTGATAGTTTACCCCTCCTCAATGATAGGCATCGGAGATGGTCCGCTTCTTGTGTAGTCCACAATATCAGACATTGGAGAGATGATGAGCTCGACTCTGTCACTGCACAGTCTGATTCGAGCTGCATCCTCATGCGGCCTTCAGCCCCGACAGATTCAGTCCCCACATTCTCGGTCTTAGCTACCGGTGGCGCATGAGAACGTGAGCACGTCTCTGCTTAAAGCACGGGCCAAAAGATACGTGGAAAGGCTTTGGCTGGTTGGGTCGGGCTTCGCCAAGCATCTGATAACACTACGGCCTTTTCCTCCGATTCCCTGATTTGATTGGATAGCGGAACATCATCCGTAGTAGTTCTACCGGCCCCATAATCGGAGTAAATACGGACAGTGCCCTAGTGTCAACCCCGGTGACCAAAGTTGGGATATCGGGACATTACCGCAGGGTGGGAATGAGGGGTAGTAGACTACGGCCACTAGGTCATACAGCATTGGAAATGCAGGCGAACGACGTTAGTGATGGCGGGTTCAGCATATTGGACGTTCTATAATAAGGGTCGCCACCATGGGGGCTATGAATGCTAGACGGAAAGGTAAAGAAGATGAGAGACATAAATGTAATTGAATTGAGAATGAAGGGGTGCAATTTTCCCAGTCGAACTTCTACGCTCATTATATAGTCATATATCCAGGTCTGACAGATCATCAACCGAAGGAAACGGCCAAGTAAGACTATTCAGGTCTAAGGAATTGGCCAGGTCCATCAACTGATCTGGTCTGAGTTCGTAATGTTCCTCAAATCCTTCCGCAGACTTCGACCCCAGTGAGTGGCTATGCTCACCCGACTCGACCGGAGGAACCATGGCTACAGGATTATCCCCCTCTCTCGATTCACGAGGAGCGTGTGTTGGTAGGACCGTTGCCATATTCCCTTTCATCGCCAGCTGAGAAAGTTCACTGTCTAATTGCTTCAACTCCGACCTGATAAGTCTGGCCGAAAGGTTGCCGCGAGCGGTCATATCATCGAAAATAGCGTACGCACGTTGTGACCAAGGTGAGTGATCTCGTAGTAGGGATGGATCAATTGCAGCCGCCAGCAAAAGCGAGATCGTGGCTGTAGATGCCGCGTCCATGTCGAAAGGGAGAAAGGTTTCTTACGTAGCTCATAGTCAGTGAGGGTCACCTTATATATAGAGAGAAGGTCGGCTGCCTACCCAAAATCCCTTGTTCTAGTAAATTTGATAGGATTCTTAGGATCTGTTGAGAGGACTCCACACAGATGTGAAGGAGAGCCTTCACAGTCCCCGCTTGAAGCCAGTCCATCAACGCAGGGTCAGACAGGCCCAGTTTGGATTGGAGGAAAATGTACAAAAGGGGCCTTGTCGTGAGAATGATACACTAAATACAGAGGTCAGCATTTTTTTCGCAGACATTGCTTTGAAGATGATATACCTGATGCTGAAAAATGTACAAATGTGCCGATATTCGCGACGTACCGCTCATGGAACCCTTGGTATATAGGTTGAAAGAGCTATTCAATTGTTCAGTGACATGGGCAATGTCTCGGAGAACAGACTGAGTAGCGCTGAGATAGCGACTATCGACTTTTCCTTCACTGCCATATACAGCTAACCTTTTGTTAGCAAATAAACGCGTCCATGGTAGTATGAACGTACTCAGGTCCACTTTTGCCAGTATTTGGCATAACATAACTTGCATCTCTAGGACATTTGCGCCTTGGATATGCGTGGATATCGAAGGAAATGAAGCACTGATGCTCTCTTCTGAAATCCCCATGGGCACTCCTAAAAGAGACGACATGCGGCGTTCAAGGACGTAGCAAGTCCACCACACAAGGCTGCTTCGCTGCACGTAGTCTTGATTAAGACAGATCCCATGCATTTCAGTATACATGCCATATCCCAGTGCGTGGCGGAGCGCATTACCAATCTAAAACCATCAACCCCGAACTTAATAGAAGAATGGCGCTTCATTCTTACCATGCGATGGGCCGGGCCACGGCTGTGGACGGACTGGAGATACAATGCAGCACAGCACATGACCTGTATCATCTCAATCGGATCGCCGTCAAAGAAGTTAAAGTCCGGCATGCATTGCATGGCTTGGACAAAGTGTTCTGCGCCGACTGGGACCCGCGATCGGGTTGATTGAACCACAAATATTTTTCCAAATGCAAGAATCAGAAGATAGTGGCAAAACCACAAAGGCGAAGATCGAGCTTCTTTCACTGGATTTTGCTGGAACACTGCAAACTTCTCCATGAAACGGTCCTCGTCAAATAGATAGAACAGCTGTCCACAGTGGAACTTGACCGAACTGATAAGATACTTGGCGAATTCCGGTGTTGGAAGGTTCGAGACGTCAAAAAGGTCCTGTGGATAGTTTGCTTTGTTTCCATCCCACTTGAGATCGTAAACATGATCATCAAAGAGCAGATTCGCTGGATCGGGAAACAGCGACGACCCAGTCAGTTTCTCGTGGGTCATTCCCAGCACTCGTCGAGCGAAGGCCCAACTAGATGACGTGCCCATGAAAACTATTATACTAGTCAGAATAACACTCATGCTCTCCTATGCAAGTTGGAAGGTTCACCCGGTGTTCCCATAGGGCCTGGAACCCAGTCTGTGATGTGAAATGCGAGTGGATTTGTCAGAGGCGCCTTGACTTCCACTCCACCTTGGCTTCTGGATGTCGTTGTAGTGACATGTCTAAAGTGCAGGCCTTGGTCCTCACTCTCGGCTGACGATAGCAAGGATGTCGCGTTATCACCTAGAGACAGCATTAGCGGTTTCGGGTCAAGAATCATCCCGCTGGCAATGACGCTCACATGGGAGGATGGAAGGCTGTTTAGGGGTCGATTGCAAAGCAGCTGGTTGGTTCACTCTGTGCTGTAAGGTAGCTAGTCGGTCGTGGAGGCTATTAATATATCTGTCTCGATTGGGGTCATTAGATCTGGAGGTGGATGATAGCTGATCTCTTCACCCACCTTCGTGTGACCAGAACCGTTTCTGACAGGCTCTCGAAATGACAAGCTGAATTCCGCTTGCTACACTGGTCGCAGGGATGTGAGCCCGTGCATCTAATCTTTTGGTCACGACATCTTCTGCAACTGTTCGCTTGTTCAAGTTGCCATTAGAATATTGTTTCCCGAGCCTGGGGGAGGACGTACGCTCTAGCCACACGCTTACTTGCTCTTAGCGAGCGTCTTTCCACAGCATCTTTGGGAGGCATCTTGCCTCAAGGAACGGTCAGTTTCGAGCAGAAGGGCTTTAGAGGAGGACGTTGGCTCGTGTGGGGGCGCGGATGGAGTGGAGCCGCGACAGCTGGTGAGTACTGAAACCCAGATGCGGGGATATCAGCGAGTAGGCCGATGAGAACAACTTCGCAGATTGGCGATATGATGTTTGTCAAATGTTGCGCACTGCCTCTGTAGTTAATCTACCCGGCCGATTACTGTCGAGGCAGGTCTCTCCGAGCTAGTACCTCGTATCCACCCCGATGCCGGCTATAGCTCTCAAAGATCGGAGGCGAAGTTCTTCATGCTGTCAGCGGCACAGGTTCTCGGGTCCAATCGAGTAAATCCACGAGTAGAGTCTGGGGAGGGGGACTTGCAATTGAGGAAGGTTTGGAGTCTTCTCAATGGCATCGGATGTAAAGGCCGTAGCGCGAAGTCCCACCCACCCCACATCGACGGAGACCGACCAACCATGGTCAAGGCGAGTTTGGACTTTGGAGCCGGTCACTTGTGGATCTTCCCTGGTTCATCTGGGGATGCCGCGTCTCGGCAACGGGATGGGGTATCAGACCTCCTGTCCCTGGTAGTACCCCAGATCCCCCTCGCATACTCTCTGCGGCACGCGGCCTCTTGAAAAACAATTTGAAGTCTTTCTTCTTACGTCTAGGGACAATCTCATCGTCTTAGATTGTAAATAGGTGTTGCTTTTCTGCACTCTTAGCATAGCTGCCGTATGGATGTATAGTCAAGTTGGGAGATATGATTATCTTGCAGGTCACTACATTATTCGCGATTGACACTGTCCAATGATAACTTACTACTCGTCACCTAGATATCTAGTAAAGGTATGTCTTTCCGGAGTTACCGGAGAATCCTAAACACAAATAAGGTTCCTGAATCGTATATAAGACTAACCATCGGGGTTTTCACTACCAAGATATTTATCTTTGCTTGTCCCATATCACAATGTCTACAACAAGCCCGTTTATCCCCAACCACGTATTCTAGACAATATTCCTTCCTACCACGATACACCATGTCGGAACTTAATGATCCAAAGGCTGACTTGACGGAAAAGTCATCGAGACCTCTGGATGCTCCTCCCATAACACAAGATGCAGTCTTTGGCGAGATCACTGAATCAGGGCCGAATTACCGAAATGTGAGTACACCGTATCCAACTCGGACTCAAATATCTAACGACAGATAGGTTGGATGGCTAGGAACAGTGGCTCTCATGATGAAGACTCAGTTTGGCCTTGGAGTTCTTTCCATTCCCCATGTTCTTGATTCCCTGGGACTAATCCCAGGCATCATATGCCTGCTTGCGCTTGCAACCATCACCACCTGGTCGAACTACGTTATCGGTACTTTCAAGTTGAAGCATCCTGAGGTGTACGCCATCGACGATGCAGGAGAATTGATGTTCGGCCGAGTAGGCCGCGAGGTCCTTGGTATCGGGGTTTGCATCTGTGGGTCCTGAACGAAGCATGGTTTCTGTCGTTGTTTCTAACCAATACATGTCAGACTGGATTTTCTGTTCTGGTTCTGGGCTCTTGAGCACATCCATTGGGCTGAACGCAGTATCAGCTCACGGGACATGCACTGCTGTCTTTGTTGCAGTATCTGCAATCGCTTCATTCAGCATGGCCAGCATCCGCACCTTGGGAAAAATCAAATGGACTGCTTGGGTTGGAGTGGGCTCGGTCTTCACTGCTGGTGGGTAGATCCTTGTAACCTGCTTCGGAGTACATACTCAAGGGTCCCTAGTTATGATGGCCACGATCGCAGTCGGTCTCCAGGATCGGCCTCCAACAGCGCCCAAGGGCGACGGACCCTGGGTATCGGACTACAAGCTTGTTGGCAATCCATCGTTCACCCAGGCAATTACTGCAGTCTCATCCATTGTCTTTGCGTACTCTGGTACTCCTGGTCAGTCTACCCTATCTTTTCTCTCCTTGAGGCAGATCGAGTGACGAGGCTACCATGGGCAACCATTGGTCCCTGGCAAAGGAAATACTATGTTCCAATATCAAAATTCGTGTGCTGATAATTGCCAATTAGGATTCTTTCCGATTGCGGCTGAAATGCGCAATCCCTCGAATTACACAAGATCCCTACTTATCTGCCAATCTGCTGTGACTTCAATATACGTCTCTATTGGTATCGTCATTTATTACTATTGCGGCTCATATGTTGCATCACCAGCCCTTGGATCTGCCGGTACATTGATCAAGAAGGTGGCATATGGCATCGCACTTCCTGGCCTGGTAGTCAGCACGGTCATCGTCCTTCATGTGAGTGATCACGAATGGTTAAGCTCGACTTCTTTCTTTTGACCAAGTATAGTTCTCAAGCAAATATATTTTCGTCCGCATATTACGAGGGTCCGAACATCTCACGGCCAACTCTTTCAAACATTGGGCAACATGGTTGAGCTGCACCTTCGCCACTACAGTTTTATCTTACATCATTGCCAGTGCGATCCCCATCTTTGGCGATCTCGTTTCCCTCATCGGCGCCTTGCTGGGGACTTTCATGTCATTCCAGCCGATGGGGTGCATGTGGCTATATGATAACTGGAAAAACGGCAGAGAGCAACCAACCCTCAAATGGATTCTACTTTCATCTTGGAGCATCCTCGTCGTTATCTGTGGGTCTTTTCTTATGGTTGCTGGAACATACGGCTCCATTGTCAATATCATTGCTTCTAGCAAGGCGGCTTCAGGTTCATCTGCGTGGTCATGCGCTGACAACTCGAACTCTTGAGCGTTGGCTTTGAGAATCATGATTACATGGGCCTTCAATATTGTATTTTATACACTTGTTCCAGGATAGCTCTATCGCACCCCAAATGGAAGATGCAAAGTCAATTTTCATGGGATAGTTCAATCAGACAAACTCTCTATTTTCTTCATAGACTGTATCAGCTGGTAGTGTAGGAATGTGCGACTGATGATGTGAATACTGAGCATCTGGATTTGACTTATTAGAGGTGTGACGATCTACACCAACTTTACAGTAGAAGAAGACGTGTTATAGAGAACCTGAGTCCTTTGCATAACGGTGGATGGGACCGTAAGTAGTTGTCAGCATCTAAAGGCAGGGTAGCTCGATCGACGCCAAATATTATTTTCTTAGTTGCTTCGTACGCAATCATGGCGATGAAAGTCAACATATTCTGCCTATTTGTATATAGAGAGGGAACTAGCTATGTCCTTCGTAATTGTCAGAATTGCGCTCGGAATCTAGGCATATATTATAGAAAATAGAGATAATCTCAGCTATGAAACAAGCACATTACCTATATTTCTATACAATGAACATAGGCAACTAGACTACCTTGATAGAGTTGCGCTTATAAAGCCATTTATAGTATGGTACCCTCGCTATTCGCTGATATTAATCCTCTGCAATAGTCAGTATTACACTTCCTGTCCTATATCAAACACACTAACTCTAAATCCTCTAGCGCTCTATACCTAGACACCGTACTCAAATTCCAACTGCTGCATTGTCTCTGGAGTTGAAATGTTTTATACAGTTATAGACGTATGGTTTCTCTACGGCCACAGTCTATATCGGTCTGTTTGTTGGCAAGGAAATCAAATTGATTCAGAAATTCCGAACCCATTTTGGTTCATTGACCTTCCTGAATTGCAGAAGCGAATCGGCCAGCCACAGTAGCTTGATTTGACAGAATTATTCTAGGACTGGCTCAATTTCGGACTAGTGGAGCTGGGAAACAAACCTGACACGTACCAGCGTGGCGATTGCGCATTACACATCTCATCTGGTAATTGATAAACTAATGTTACTGCCAAGCCCCATGCAGAGGACTAAACATGGCGTGTGGGGTTGCTTGATGGTGTATCTTGCTAAAAGAAGAAAGACAGCTAGGCAACTAGATGACCTAACCTGGCAGTCAGCCTACTATGAAGCCCCGCGAATTGGGATATTGCTTGGCTGGTCACTGTCTATCAGCATTTACTCCTTCCAAGGAAAGCTATGCTGTGTATCCAGTGATATGGCAATGTCTGATCGTCACCATAACCAGCCATGATCAATTTTCTCCTCCAATCTTGTGGTTCCTGCAACTACGGGATAGTTCAGTGGGCCTGTATGCACCGGCCCCGAGCTAACAGGAGTCAGCTGTATTGCCTTTCGTCGGATACCCTGCTCATCTCGTTTGTCTGATAGACGGCAAAGTCGACACTACTTTGGTTTAGGACGCTGACGATACTAAGCCTTTGTGGGCATAGAGTATACAGTCCTCTGTAGGATCCTGGTAGGGAGTGGTAATGTGTAAGAAGAAAATTATAAATACCGTACTCTATAAGCGAGCTTGGTCCTTTTTGCTTTTTTCTCCCTTGAGATTAGTGAGAGAGGAACACGTAATGAAAATATAATAGAGCCAGGCATCATGGAATCGGCATGAAGTCAGAGTTTTACAACCGCTGTAGATCAGTCCGGTTATCATAATTAATTCCTCTCGGTCATCGAATTAGTGATAGGAAGATGACTAGAGGAGATATCCCGAGTTGTCAAATTGCGAAGAAGGGCCAAGTGTCAGTAAGGGGCATATATGTGCTCCCAAGGTTCTCTCCTGGCCTCAAGGTTCTCATTTTTTCACTCTCTGGACATAATATAAAACTGCTCGACACTCACCCAGCGACCATGCTTTGGGATTTTTTTCTGCTTTCTTTGGCTATCATTCCAGACCTTTCTGCTACATTGTGATCGGCGTGGACGACATGCCTCCATGATGAAGGAAAGACAAGGCGTACCACCCACTTTCGTTTAGTGTCTCCATCGAGGGCCCATGCCAGGTAAATATGGCGGATGGCGCGTCCTTGCTGCCTTTTTTTCCTTACCATCTGTCCATGTGGAGAAACAGCATCCGGGTTTCAGGTCCAGTCTAGTTCTAGCCTCGCTACGAGTCAACATCTCTGAGCTTCCACCACAGGCCCCCTCCCCACAAACCGATGCGAACCAAGTCATGAGTCGGATATAGAGATTACGATGAGGGATCCGAGCGGGACTGATCCGTTTTTCTCAGCGGTTCACGCGGAACTCGATCATTAAACAATGAAATTGACATGCCCCAGTCCTCTCCATGACAGCCCAGCAATGTATAAATAGGACCTCCATGCCATGCCTGTCTGATTCAGTCCATCCACCATCCTCAAACCAAGCTCCTCAATCCTCATCACAAACCTTCAATCCTTCTATCAACCAAACCACCTCTTCATATCTACCCTCAGAATGTCTCCCTGTGCTTGCAACTGCTGCAGTGGAAACTGCTCTAGCTGCTCTTGCTCCTCTTGCAGCGTGAGTCCAGTGTATCTTTGATCACCGTCAGCCTGTCTAACTTGATTTTGGCAGCATTAAATCGTACAATGTCCAACCGCTACATCCCCATCGAGCAGGCGCCTCGACCATCTCGACCGACCTCTCCACCTCCAATTTCGGGCTGTGTTTCGGGCCTGAACGACCGATATAGATTTCGATGATGGGAGGAGAACTTGTTTCATCGGGGTAGCTTGGGCACTACATCACACGCTGTGTTTGTTATTCGTGTCTCGTACATGTGAAGATATTGTATCAACCACTGTCACTACAGTCATGCGCGCCTAGGAATATGATCATAGCTATGGTACCAAACCTCTTCTTTGGTCTCGTTTGTAAGCGTAGCTGCGAGGAATGTGGGATGCTAATCGGAGGGGGGTCAAGGCTCAAGCTGACAGCTACCTACTCCTCACGAACCTACTGCAAACCGCCCCACTGGCATACATGCTCTTCGCCAGAATTTGGGGGTTGCCTTCAGCCCTTTCGCTTACCACGGCTAAAATGTATCCCCTTCCCTCCTTTCCACCACGACGTATTCATGCTGTTAGAGGCGAGCTTCAACACCAAGGTCATCCTTGTCTAAAAGCGTAAATTGAATACCACTTGTACCGTGAGACTTACTATCCATGCAATTTATATATGAACTTATATCGTCTCGCCAAACAGGGATGGCGACTCGACATACTTCGACGATTGTACCGCCCAAGCAGCAGCTCTAACACTCAAGTCGCCCGATGAACCCGCTCGTTATGGTCATCCGGGTTGGGCGTGTCGAAGTCGTAGAAGAAGTCCGTATTCCTCACGACACGGAGCCAGCCATCCCGTCCTTGTTGCATGTTGGCGAAAAAACCTTAGAGAAGGCGGCCCACCATACATTACGCCAGGTTCGGTCTCACCACTGTGGGACCGTGGAAATCATGTACTAGGAGATACACGTATTGGCATACAGTAAAAGAAGCTCTGTCCCACCTAGAGATTTCCAAATAGGCTCACATCTACAGTAACCTAGAAGGTTCTGCACAATCAACCCTGGTTTAACGCACTATTAAATCATTGATCTTGGGTCTCTTTCCATCTTACTTTATGTGATTTAGTTAACAAAGCATTCAATCACACACAACATATTTGGTTGCACTGGCAGATTCCTGCCAAGAGAACAAAATCCACGGATCTTCTCAGATATCTATACGAAAACCACCTCACCTGACATGTTCTCTAGAGGCGACGAAATGTGTCGACGCTTTCTCTCTATAATCTCTAGCCAGGATCTCCTCTCTCAGACCCCATCCCAAAGCAAACGTGGCTGCTGGTCCAAATAGGATAAGGCATAAAGGCAGAGCCAAAAATATGTATAACCAAGGTAGACGTAGCTTCTTTTCTACGCTCACATCTTTCAACTCCAAGATAACCCAGACCACTGCGCTACCAATACCGATTGTATGGGCGTTTAAAATGGCCTCCAAAGACAGAGAGTGAACCAGTCTATCCTGTTCAGGAACCGCAAAATGCCTGCATATGGAGATGCCGACAGAAATTAAAACGGTCAAAGCACATGATGCCCTGATCCATGGCAAATCGGCCGTTGGACGTTCTATTCTGTCATCGACCGTCGTATCCTGTACATAACTGGCCAGGAAGCGATGCAAGAAGCTAAAAATAACTGGGATAAGGAGTAGCTGAAGTGAAGACCATTGCGAGGTCCAAACCCATAGTGAAGGTACGTAGAAGCCAACTATCAGTGCGGGGATCATCGACTTGGCATATGATAATCGTATAGGACGGCTGTCAGGAATGAGACGTTTTGATGCAGAGAACACATAGTAGAATGTAAAGTAAGCTGGCACTGTTCTCCATAGCCCTACGCTTGAGTGGGCTAGTAGATATATTGGAAGACAACTGGGGGTGATGTTGAGATTAGCTTTTCAGCATCCCAATAATATTAGGCGAAGAAGACTTACCAGCTCATAAAGGTTATGGCGTTGCAAAACCTTGCGCTCTCCATGGCCCAAATAACCTGAAAAGTTCCCAAGTCTGCAAGCGCAGAATAAACGTCCCAAGGGCTCGAAGCTGGGGCCTTTCCGGGAGACATAATAATGCTCAAGGAGAAGCAAATCAGAAGCGGGACTGTCCAAAATAGACGCCCGGATGGTATAATCGGGGCACCGATATAATGTCGCTTCCCAAACGGTATTGTCCCGGTGCTTTGACGTTTGGGTAGAGGTAGAAACGATATACATTCTCCACCCACGCCCATGTCCGATATGAGATCTGCAAAAGCGTCCATATAGTATTTGGAAAAGATTGGGCCAGTAATCTTATAGACCACATTATCTAGCGATTGCATCCGAGTCACCATCTCTGATAGTGTACATATAAGCCTCATCCTGGGTTTGCTAACAGTTGCCCAGGAGTCCAATCTGCTTTCGATATTTGGAAGCTGCTGTTTTTCTAGGCTTTCCACAATATCTATTATTGCATTGGCCAAGGTTGCGGCGTCTTCTATAGCGCAAGATCCTCCTTGGCCGAGATTTGGAGTCATCTAACATCGGGTTAGCAGAAACAGCTAATTAAATTCATATCAAATACGCTGAATAGTCGTACCTTGTGAACCGAGTCCCCTATACAGGCTACCTTTCCGTAATTCCATCGCTCAAATATACCTTCTTCAAGAGGCAGATGGCTGCATCTAATAGTTCGTTGATATACCTCCTTAAACTGAACTCCTGCGCAAACGTATTTGCTCATCAAAAAAGCAAGGTCATTTTCCAGTTGCGACTGATCGAAACGAACAGCTTCTGGAGCGTAGTATGTTCGTTCCATCTTGACTCCAACGATCCAAAACACATGGTCCTTGCAGCCAATAGTAAGGATAGAAGCCCCCTTTACAAAGATATTGTGCATCTCTCCTTCTCTGATCCCTGCAACCGAGTTTGAAATACCAAAGACACCGCGATATTGCGTGACCATCCCTATATTGATTGTTAGAAACCATTGAAGCAGGATATCATCAATCATTGCAGATACTCTTATTTTCAGATAGCCATGAATCACCCAGCTGCATCATTTCCATATGTCGGTACATCTCTTTGTGAATGATACTGTGCACACCATCGGCGCCAACAACGATATCACCCGTATAGGTAGACCCATCGAGGCAGTGCACAGTCGCTTCTGTGGAGGCCTGCTGCATCTTAACCACCTTTTTACCAGTTAGAACACGGCTCTTGTCTGGCAACTTATTCCAGAGCACGTCCAGCACTTGCTGTCGCATAAGGAAAATGACTGGGTATCCATGGCTACCATGGTTTAGCAACAGTATACACCACAAAGCAAGGGGAGAATAGGACCAACCGAACTTGAGATAGCTTGAAGGCTCCTGTGTATCCAAGCATATGGCCTTTATCGTTCCAAGCATAGTTGTTGATTATGGTGGTTGCGAGTTCCGCAAGTTCATCCCACACACCAAGCTGGTCCAGGATCCGGGGGGAGTTCCCGGTGAAACCAATACTTGCGCCAACATTTGGAGCAATTTCCTGACGGGCCTCTAGAACGACAAAGTCAATACTGTAGGCAGCTAAAGCATGGGCAAGAGTCAGGCCAGCGATCGAACCGCCGACAATGACGACTCGAAATTTTTGGGGGTTTACGCCCCCCGAAATCGATCGCAATGGCATATCAACTGAGTGCACTTGAAATAACCTAGGTTTAAGTTGGCCACCAGTATACGATTTATATTAAATACATCGTATCTTTGACCCCTCTTTAGACTCATTTATTTTACCGGTCGATATGCTTAAACGGGTTTGGTTAATGCAGGACTGGGCGACTAGCCTGAATGTAACGTGGCCCAATAGAACAGTGGCCTCGTATGTCCGGAAAATGCACCCAGAAGCCCTTTTTCTCCACACCTTATCGTTGTACGTACTGGGGTTATATAGAGCAACTACAGCAGAATAAGTATTATAGAAGAAGCCTTTGCATTTGCATAACGGTAGAGGGAAACCTAATTAAATAGAGAAAACCTGAACCAAGGCAAAAAAAGAACGGTATCCAATCTGAAAGCCGAATGATTTCGCGATCTGTTCACCAGCATAATTCGGGTATACTAGTAAATCAATATATCATATATCACTAGACAACCTTAGAGTGACCTCGGTTCTTACCTCGAGGAGGCTTTGCTGATACTGCAGTACCATGTATATCACACACAAAGAGGTGTTTACTTGATGCAATTAGTATGTCTCATCCCTCAAGTAGGAAGGAACTGAAAACATACCAGCTATATATATTCATCTGTCAGTCTGGATATTCTCAAGTTATCCCTTAAGTAGAAATAGAATCAAGGGAGTCAGCACATACAATCTATTTGTAATACACCTCTGTTAGCTTAGATATCCTTATATTATCTCTAAAGCAGGAAGGGGTTAAACACATACACCCTATCCATAGTCAGCCATCAGCCTAAATATCATTATATTATCCCTCGAGTAGGAAGGGGTCAAACACATACAGGCTATCCATATCCAACCTCTGTCAGCCGAAATCCTTATATTATCTCTGAAGCAGGAAGGGGTCAGACACATACAATCTATATATATCCCACGTCTATTAGCTTAGATTCTTATATTATCTCTGAAGCAGAAAGGGGTCAAACACATACAATCTATCCATATCTATCTGTCAGCTTAGATATTCTTATAATATCTCTAAAGTAGGAAGGGGTTAAACACATACACTCTATCCATAGTCAGCCATCAGCCTAAATATCATTATATTATCCCTTGAGTAGGAAAGGGTTGACATACACCCTATCCATATTCAGCTGTCAGCCTAAATATCATCACATTATCCCTCAAGCAGGAAGGGGTTGACATACAAGCTGTCCATATCCCATCTCTGTTAGCCTAGATTCTTGTATTATCTCTGAAGCAGGATGATATTTAGTACATACAAGCTATCCATAGTCAGCCATCAGCCTAAATATCATCATATTATCCCTTGAGTAGGAAAGGGTTGACATACACCCTATCCATATTCAGCTGTCACCCTATATATTCCCACATTATCTCTTAAGCAAGAACAAGCTTATATCCTTACGCCCTTTTTTTTAGTTTCACTATCAGATTGTATGGGTCCTGCTATTGCAACAGCAATAAACATAACTGCATAAAGGATAGCAATAAGCTTCATATTGCCGAAAGACTTCATTATAGCCGTCACAAGGGTAAAAGATAGTTTAACAGATGAATTTTGGAAAAGGTCGGAGACTGAGATTTCGTTTATATAATTACTATACAGCAGAGGATCCCTATATATACCGAGAATATTAATCTTATGAATACTACGGCTGAGCCAAGTAAGGGATAGAATATGTGTCTCCTAAGCTAGGTTCACATTGGTCCGACATTCCGACTTTTTTTCATAACAATACATTACATTGCTTTTTCACCGCCATTTAGTCTTCGAAGACTCAATCAAGCTGAAGAATCTAGGTCCTATTCTGATACCAGATTGGGTCATGTACTGACAAAAAGTCGGCTTGCGTAGTATTCGAGAAATCTACCAGGAGATCTTGACCTGATCTGGCATCAGAATTGTTCAGCTTGAGGGAGCCTGAAAACAGTGAAATACGGTGAGAATGTCACTATACGTAATGCTGCATGCATTGCGTAGAAAGTCATGTATCTTGCAGATCTGATGCTGTGGCGTAAGTGGACCGTCTAGCATGGTCTCCTCCGAGACAGAGCCCGATCTGCAAGGAGTCAAGGACTGGGGCACGATCACTTCTGCATTTCCGGGGACTTTGATTGGTACCACGAGGCTTACCAAACGCCTTGGCAAATTTCTTCCTGGGAGCACTCGTGAAGTCTACGCAGGTAATTAATAAAAGGTGTCAAAAGTACATGAGCAGAGCCCAGTGTTGCTGGAGTTTTCCCCAACACCAGCAAGAGTTTGCCTAAGCCTCCTGTCGGGTCAATTTAGGGGCCAGTCTCCTGGAGATGTTTCCATGGGACTGGCCACTAGCTTGCACACATAGTACGATGATGCACTCTGGTTGCAGTTCAACTCTGAGGGGGACTTCCAAATCAAGTGTCCTATTGCATGTGGGGCGATCCATATCTCGGACGCTAGTAAGCGAGATCTGATGCATTGAATCAGAGATCACTCGGGCTGGGCTCGGTAAGCTTCAGATTCGTAGATCTCTGATTCAGCCTCTATTTATTTGTCAGTGACCATGAGATCTGCGGCCCAGCCAGCTCCGTGGCAACTAAGAAAAATGAAGAGGATTTTCCTCCCAAGATATTCATCGTCAACAACCCTTAGGAGATGCAAACTCGTGCAATTCTAGCTAAATGCGGCACTACTCACTGTAAAAGCCTCTCAATACTTCATTGACAAGCAAAATAGCCTTGAAGTTGGCGGCGGCCGCTGCCCTACTTTCATATGTCATATAAAATTGCGTTTGCCGTGTCCTGCAACAACTAAAGTTGCTAGACTATTGTACGCGTCATCTATTGTCTCTGTTTCCATGTATTGCCGAAATAGCCCGGTCCTCAGATAGCAGCTAGAACACACTTGTATACAGATCATATATTAGCTACAATAATTATAAGCGGTGAAGATATTATATCTTGTAGAATACTAGTAGTGTATGAACATTGGGGTTTGTATGTATCTTTGGGAGAGGTATTGTGCAGCACTCCAGCTTCAATAGAATGGAATTGCCCCGATCTGCACTAATAGACCTTGCTCCTTGCTTAGGAGAATGGGATAGTTTGTTGATCATACGATTTTCAACATCGAGACACAGCGGAAATCTTTTCCATGATGGTAATGGATAGACTACGAGTGGCCCTGTTCTTCTCCGAAGATCATATCGCGTATATTATTGCTACAAGTGATCAATCCTCTATCAATTCTTAACCCTTTACCAAAAAAAAGAAAAAGAAAAAGACAGAAGCCTTCACGATGAAGCTCTTGACTATTGTTTCTACCGTTCTATTTGCTGCTTTTGCGGTGGCAGGATCAAGAGAAGAGACGAATTATCGAGTGGAAAGGAGACAGGTAAACGGATATGATGTATGAGCATACAGATCAAGAGTCATTTTCTGTGGGAATCCTAAGCTGACAAGAGATTTGAATAGGATGGATGCGCTGGAGAATTTGGGGTAAGCTAGCACCTATTACCTGAAAACGACTTTTCAAGAGCGGACTGACTTAAGACGGGTCTTACCAGAAATTGTGCCGTGACGGAACATATGGAGTTGCTCACGAATGTTGTGATGACTGTGGAATTGGATGTTAATTCCGATCAAGCCCACTCAATTCCCTATTGTCAAGCGCAGAATTACTAGCACACGCTGTACGACTTTGGCAAAAGGAAATCTATCATATGTACCTACATATCAAGGCCCAGTGGCCCGATACTATATTGGCTACAATAATGATAAGCGGTGAAGACACCACATCGAGTAAAATAATCAGTGGAACACTAACTTTCAAACATATCCACATTAGGGTTCGTAGCGTCTTATAACAACAATTATTGAGAACCCCTAATATTAACAAGACTTCTCAGTATTCACACAGTCACACTGATTAACCACCATCTAGAAAACATGAATATACTTATTGTGTTGTAGGTTGGGCAAGAGTGCCAAAAATAGTATATGAGAGGGTAACAAGGTACCATTCACAGACTTAATGTAGTTCTTCGTGATCAACCCTATAAGTTATCTGACGGCTATATTTGCACAGTACTTTTACCAGCTCAACTTGTTCGCAATTGTTCGCTATTGAGTATACGTACTTGGTCTGGCACTAGTTTTGGCAGCCGTAAGCGAGCTTCCCCTTACCTGATTGCAATGCACATCATTCAACACGAATTGTAAGCGTGGTCTTTCTCAGGTTCGACAGATCAGATGTTCTCTCTATATCGTGCAGTTCTTGGCATAATGTTTGATTTTTTACGCGTAAAACTTTGAAAAATAGCCAGTCCTTTACCGTGGATAGTTTATACTTTCGATAGTACTGATTTTATGCCTTCAATCAGGACTGAATTGGTTGAGTTATAAGCATTGAAAACTGACCATTTTCAATAAACTTGTGCACGCAAAAAAGAAAAAGGCGCCAAAGATTGAAAATCATTTTGCATACACTAAATCACTTTTAGTAGGAGTTCGGATGCTTAGAATCGGACCCCGATTTACGGTCTCTTCGAAGTTAGTTCTAAGCACCATCATCCCAGAGACTTCCATAGCCACAGTATTCAGACGCCATGAGCATGTTGGATAAGGCGCCGGTCGCCGTATTGGCCATTGTAATCCTTTTACTAGCTCTCCTTCTGCGACCGAAAACTCAGAGGCCAAGAAATTATCTCGAGCCACCATTGATCTCAAGTGCAGTTCCCGTGATCGGCCACCTGGTCGCATTCGCCTACTATGGACTTAAGTATTTTCCATTGCAGAGGTAAAGTTGCTAGGTATGATAATGCCGTTCTGTGCGCTGATACGTACAGCGCGAAAACAACGGCACCCATCTTCAGCATAAGAATCCTGTCCCAAAAGGTGTATATCATCAAGTCACCGGGGCTAGTCTCGGCGGTTCAGCGCAGTTATCGCACCATGTCTTTTGACCCCTTGATAACTCGCACTGCAAAGTGTGTTGGGGGCATCAAGGGGCCTGGTCTACAACTGATTCGTGAAAAATCATCCCAAGGTCAAGGGCTCGGGCATCAAACAACAGCTACTATGCGACACACTCTCATGGGCGAAGGATTGGACCAAATGAACAAGATGATTATTCCCTGTCTGCAACGGAGCGTCCAAGATTTGAAAGACCATCGCGGCGGACTTGATCTCTTTCAATGGTGTAGTCTCACACTCACCCTCGCCACGACGGAGGCGATTTACGGGTCGCTAAACCCCTACCGTCGTGCCGTTGCCCGCGAAGCCTACTGGTAATTCGAAAGACATCCTGATCCAGTTTGGCGCATTAATCACTAATCAGATAACGTATAGGGAAATTGAGAAATGTCTGAATTCCCTCATGATGGATTTCGCACCTTGGCTGTTCGCACGGAAGGCTTGGACGGGGCGAGAGTATCTTGCCAACGCTTTCATGGAGTATTTCGATGCAGGCGGTCACTTAGAAGCGTCACAGATGGTGTACACGAGATGGAAAACGCAACACGATGCTGGAGCAGCGTTGGAGGATATTGCTCGTCTTGAAATCGTGATGGGTCTTGGGATTCTCTCGAATACGGTTCCTACCTGCTTCTGGGTCATCTTTGACATTTTTTCCCGTCCAGATCTACTCAAAGAACTCAGAGAGCAAATACAACAGAGTTCATTGTCTGTCGACTGCGACGGTGTCCATACGGTCGATTTGGCGGCAGTTCAAGACAACTGTCCACTGCTGCTTGCATCATTTCAAGAGACACTTCGGGTTCGATCAAACTCGGCTCAGTTACGAGTGGTTCACTCGGAAACCGTCCTAGATGAATCATGGCTGATCAACGCTGGCTCTGTGCTTGTGATTCCAGCTGCAGTGATCAATAAAAGTAAATCTACATGGGGGCTGGATGCGAATGAGTTCAATCCTCAACGATTCTTAACAGGAACTCCAAAGAACAAAGCATCAGCATTTATGTCATTTGGTATATCCCCAAATATGTGCGCTGGTCGTCACTTAGCTGCAGGTGAAATCATGGCTCTTATGGCGATGCTGATCATGCGGTTTGACATCTATCCTCCTGAGGGCACTTGGAAACAGCCTACCACCAATGTGAAGGCAATGGCTGCATCATTGAGTCCACCGGCAGATCAATATTCCGTGACCATTCAAGAGAGAGAGGAATTCAAAGGGGTGACATGGAATTTTGTGGCTGCATCAGGAAAGGGAAAGCAAGATTTGATCGTCGGATAAAAGCCCTTGCGTAGAGTCCAGATAACCTTAGCGGTCTGACCTCTTACATGCCGACCGCCACGACCTAGATACATTATTGGGGCAAAATTATACATCCGAACATCTCCGAGCTGCCGTTCTTACCTTTAGTGGTCTTGCTTATTACGTGTTCACCTCTATTAGTTACCTGGAGACCTTTATGTTGTTTTCCGTGCAGACTCAAATCGATCTACATAGATCTGTAAATCCAGCCGACCAGGAAGGACGCATAGAGGTTCCCAGGTTTATACGAATATGAAGGGTTGTACGGAGTAAGCTTGCTAACTTCAACTTCGTCTTCTTCGGAGAGAAAATTTTGGAGTCGCGTCGTTTATTGCTTTGGACTGATCTGATATATCATATAGCTTCTGAGGTAAGCGTGATAAGTGGAAGAACTGTTCCTGCCAAAGGAACGACTCAGAGAGGGATAAATTATTTCGAATACTAACGTACACAGTGTCATTTACCAAATGCTCTCATACCATTTGGTTCACGAATAGACGTCATGGAAGACACTCAGATCATGCCGCTGGATCTTTCAACGGCACTCCAGAGTGGATTCTGGGTTATTGTTATCCTTCTGCCGTTACTCTGTGGTCTTTGCGTCCTCTTCCTTCAGCTTAACAGACAGACACCCTTTCCTGATGAAGCACCACGGCCACTCGCAGAGGGCTATCCTATTCTCGGCGTGCTACGATTCTTTTCAGACCGGTACAGCATGTACTTCGATGGCATTTCTTTGTCTAAAACGGGCAGCTTCAGCTTTCACTTTGGCAAACATCAGATTGTTGGGATTTCGGGTCTCGAAGCCCGCAAAGTTTTCTTTCAGAGCAAAGCAATGGACTTGAGCCAAGGGTTAGTAGCTTTGAGCGTAGTTATCCTCAGAAACCTGATATCGGCTTACCTTAGCAAAGCTACACACTTCTCTTAGCTACAACTCCATCCTTCGAGGCCTCGCCCCGTCCTCCTGATGAGGCACTTCATTCATCCCAATGGTTTCGTAATACTCTTGCCGGCATGATGTCAAAAGATAACCTTGTGGCAAATCTCCCGCGCATAGTTAACGACATCAACACTAATTTCAATAATGCGACAGACCCCAATACCCACACTGGCATTATTGACATCTTCGACGAGGTCGGCTACATTGTGTACCAGTCGACGATGCGAGTCATCGGTTTCAACAAGATAGCCGACTCAGAGGAGCTCTGTAGCACGACCCTCAAGTTATTCGAACGGATCGAAGATGGGACTTCTCCATCGCGCATCATCTTCCCATGGCTGCCCACCCCAGCTTTTCTTCGACGACTCGGTGCAGGCATACAACTATATCAAACCTTCAAACGACTTCTTCAAGTGGGAGAAGACAGTGACCAAAACATTGACGATGTGTCACAATCGCTCGCGAAAAGCGGAACCCCCATTAAAGAGATTATTGGCGTCAGTGGATCCAACACCCATGGGTCAATCATAAGTCAAGCTCTATGATGGCCCAGTCTGATCAAATAGATTTTCCTCAAATGCTAACAGACAGATCTTTATCAGTTTGTACTTGGTACGTTGTTTGCAAGTCAAGTCAATACTCCAATCTGTGCTGCCTGGCTGCTGGTCTACCTAGCTACAAATCCACACTGGCTCAATCTCGTGCGTGCTGAGGTCGGTTCTGTACTAAAAAGGCATGGAGCTCCAGACGAAACACCTCAGGAAACTTTCGGACGCCTGAGCATTGACGTGTGGGAGTCTGAGTTTCCTCTGATACAGCTATGTTTGCGCGAGTGTATCAGGCTTCATCTAGCTGGATCAACATTCCGCAGAAATATTAGCGGCAAAAGTGTGCCGATTGGGAATACTGGAGAGGTCATACCGAAAGACGCCTATCTTGTTCGTATTGATTTTCCTGACGCCTGCGCTTCACACGAACCCAAAGCCTGACATCCCGGACAGCTTTATCTCGTTGATGAAGTCCATTTCAACCCAGATATTTACCCTAATCCAAACCTGTGGGACCCCGGTAGATATCTCCCAAATGGGTCTCAAAGCAACGATATTCCACTCAGTTATCTTGGCTGGGGAGCTGGCCGGCATCCATGTGGTAAGTTGGGATCTCGTCTATTGTACACAAACAGGATCAACAGCTAATGTGACGCGGCATAACGTAGTGGGTATGAGAGTAAGTATATTACAGTCCACCGATATTGTGATGGTCCAGCTAATGCCACTTGTCTCAGCTTGCCAAGCTCACTGTGGCGATTCTTATAAGCAGTTTTGTTTCTAAGTTTCAGTTCACACTATGCAATGACCAAGGCGACACCGTCGCTGAGCCGCCGATGCCAGACCGCAAGTTGCATAGTCCCCGCAAACCATCTGTTCCTGTCAAGTTGAAGGTCAAACGTATATAATTATCAGATCAACTTCAAGCTTATGGCTTTCCTTGTAAGTGTCTACTGCCTATTAAGTTGCGAGATATAAGGACGCCGTAATACATAGCTTTCCTCATCCCTTCCTTTCCTCACAAACAAAACTCCGACATCTGCAGTAAGACTTAGGCGTCATTATACATACCTAGCTTGGCTTTAGCCATACTCGGGGACCCGGTTTGGCTCACAGTTTCACTCTATATGCTTCTTTTTTTCATTTTGGACACAGAACGCTCTCGGTAGCTTTGCAAGATAAGGAATCGAGAGTATTACGACGGTTTATTTTCGGTTTGAGAGTTTGCGAGAAGGATGATCTTATTGAATCTACTACTATCCAGTACCTATGTTGTCCTGCAAACGTAGTAGTTCAGTATTCCAGCTTGAAGAGGATTGTTATTGTAGGGAACATACCTAAACTGAGGAATGTCATGGCAAGCATTGAATAGAATACATGTAGACTTTTATCCACTCTGCCGAGAGCAGAGAAACGTACTCACAACCCGGGCCAGATGACATGATCAAATTATCCTCCTATGTCCACTCAAAGCTGCCCCTTCGTGCTGAGTTGAACATCCACTACCGCCATAACCCCCAGGTGATCCGTAACCCAGGGCTTCTCGAATCCCAGAGTTACGATCTGCCTCCTTTCTTCGTCTCCCTCTGCCAGGATATCTTCTCCAAATCGCTCAAACTTCAGTAATTTGACCGACCCCCGGAAATAGACCTTGTCCATTCTGGAACACCCGAACTGCGCCCGCTGTTTAGTTGCTGCTTGTTGGCCCCATGTATATCCCTCCTCGGTGTCTTCCTCTCCGCCTAGTTCTAGGAATGCGTCCTTGAGACTGTTGTCCACATGCAAAGTGCGATCAAACGGCTGGATTGCGTTGAAGTCACCGGCAGCGAGCGCAGCATCCACCACATCATGGTGCATATACTGAGCGACTAGTTGCATCTGTGGTGGGCGGTACGGAGGCTCAAGGGCCAAGGACTCTAGGTGCGTGTTGCAGAGGCGGATTCGCTTCTTCTCAAGCCCAATGGAGAGGTCGACGAAAAGGGCATCGCGATCCATGCGCGTGTGGGAGTAGTGGACACGAAAGACAGACGTGATCGGCAACTGCCTGCTGACAAGGATGGTAGTGCCATACTGCGTGGTGGCCCAGTTGGCGGTGTCAATATCGGTCAGATGGAAATGGTCTTGCACCCACGGAGTCGCAGCAATGGTTTCCAAGTCAGAACGGGTGCATTCTTGGAGAAAGATAACAGGGGCAGTATTTGGAGGGAGAAGGCGTGTGAGTTGGTGAAGATGTGCCAGCGCTGGTCGCATGCGGGCTGCGGCGAAGGGAAGCATAAAGTCAATATTCCACGTATAGAGCGCAATAGCGGTGATGGCTAGACTATCATTATCATTGCTGGTTGATGGCGACTTGGAGACCCAGGTGGATGTTGTGGGGTCAAAGACATAGTAAGCCTGGTTGTAAGGTTCGTCCAAAGTCCAGGGCACCGACGTCTTCCGAAGGGTCGTGGTGTCCCTGATGGCCTGGGCCACAAGCGCTTCCATGACGACGGGTGCAGATATTGATAGGGGGAGTGTGGAGTTAAGAGGAAACAAGAAAGAAGAATGGCTGAATTTGAAAAGACACTGCTACCAAGGTAACGTGAGACCAGTAACCTCGCTTGGGATTTTCTTGTTGTTACCCCTCCTTTCTGCTAAGCCACCTAGGCTTTAAGCCAGAGATCCGGCATCACCGTAGTGGCATTATATCCCCAACACCGGAGGAAATAGCCCAGTGTCCTAATGATATGATTAGATATGTCGAAGTCATTATGTTCGATAGATCGTTCAATGATCAGAAGAATAGTGTAAGCCGCGTTGACAATCTGTTGGGCAATATCGAAGTCTCGAACCAAATTGTTCGTCTCACCACCAAGTACATCTCGTTCATATTCCTGAATGCCATTGGGCACACAAATGATCCAAGCCGAGATGTATTCTCGAGCAGCCGAGGGTATATCGTCGGAAAGCCGGCAATCTCTCGGTCCAAAAGAAGAGTATATTATAATCTGAGCTTCGCGCCGACAGCTATCATCGACCTTCTATGATATAGACGTGATATTTTGCAGACGCTCAGTTTCTTGGTGGAAAATCCTTTTGAAAACCAAAGGCCATCAGCAAAGATCATGAAAAATCACAAAGCGTATCCTTGCACGGCCACCCTGCACCCACGGCCCGGGGGTCCTGATCTCTCCAACGTTGGCGGTTGACAGCATAGTCATCCACGGTGGACATCAAGCACAATAGAAGTTCTAGATGATATCCGGGGCGAAAACGTCCATCGAGATCTCAGACCATCCATGCCAGAGAACCTAACTATACTTTTCTCTCAGCAGATACATTGGTTTGTTTGTTTGCATTGTCTGCTGTTTGATAGCGATGACTAATCTACCCCAGTCACGTGAGCTATTTGATGCATGGATGACGCAGGACGGCCGACGATCTCCCGGATGCGGGTCAGCCTATCGACGGGCATCTCTCGTAGTCTCTCCGTGTCTTGTTCCTTTCTTATTTCCCCTCCTTCCTTTGTTACCCTGCCGTCCACGTGTGTCTACAGAGTCTCAATCACCCCAAGACTAGCCTCCGGGCTGTGTACTCTACAAATATTCGCTGGAACTTAGTCGCTCCCGCTGCCCCTCAGACGCGCGGCTGGACCGGGGTGTCTTTACGCTACAGCAGGCGGTGTACTACTACTCCCCAGCAGTCGTTCACTTTCCCGCGGAGATCATACTGGCGCAAGATGGCGGCCCCATCAGGCTTGCATGCGCATCTTCATCACGGCGCGACCGATGCGGGACCTAAGCTAGTCAACCGGCTACGCGACAGCCGGTCACCGTATGTCAGAGCCCACATGAATAACCCAGTCGCCTGGCAACTGTGGGACGCAGAAGCGATCAACCTCGCCAGGCGCTATAACCGACTGGTGTTTCTCAGTATCGGCTACTCGGCTTGCCACTGGTGCCATGTCATGGAAAAGGAATCCTTCATGTCACCGGAGGTGGCTTCCATCTTGAATGAATCTTTTATCCCAATCAAGGTGGACCGCGAGGAGCGACCGGATGTTGACGATATCTACATGAACTATGTGCAAGCTACCACTGGCTCTGGTGGCTGGCCGTTGAACGTATTCTTGACTCCGGATCTAGAACCGGTCTTTGGCGGTACCTACTGGCCGGGACCCAATTCGACGACGCTACTAGGTAATGAGACTCTCAGCTTTGTAGATATTCTGGAAAAGCTCCGGGACGTTTGGCAGACCCAACAGCAACGGTGTCTTGATAGTGCGAAGGAGATCACAAAGCAACTCAGGGAATTCGCCGAGGAAGGAACACATTCGTACCAAGGAGACAAGGAAGCAGATGAGGATCTGGACATTGAACTTCTGGAGGAGGCGTACCAACATTTTGTGTCTCGCTACGATTCTGTACATGGAGGTTTTTCTAGCACACCTAAGTTCCCTACCCCCGCCAACCTCAGCTTTCTGCTCCGGCTTGGGGCGTACCCAAATGCGGTATCGGATGTTGTTGGTCAAGAAGAATGCGAAAAGGCGACTGCCATGGCAGTGCATACCCTCATTAGTATGGCACGTGGGGGTATCCGTGATCATATTGGACATGGCTTCGCAAGATACAGTGTCACTGCTGATTGGAGCCTCCCTCATTTTGAAAAGATGCTTTATGATCAGGCACAACTCTTGGATGTATATGTGGATGCATTCAAGATAACACACAACCCTGAGCTGTTAGGTGCAGTGTATGATTTAGCCACATATCTGACCACCGCTCCTATTCAGTCATCCACTGGTGCTTTTCACTCTTCGGAAGACGCGGATAGCCTGCCGTCACCGAACGACACGGAGAAACGCGAGGGAGCATACTATGTCTGGACACTGAAGGAGCTGACACAAGTGCTCGGTCAACGGGATGCTGGGGTTTGTGCTCGTCACTGGGGTGTTCATCCGGACGGTAATATCTCCCCCGAGAACGATCCACACGACGAATTTATGAACCAGAACGTGCTTTCCATAAAGGTAACACCGAGCAAACTGGCAAGAGAATTTGGGTTAGGAGAAGAAGAAGTGGTAAGAATCATTCGTTCGGCGAAGCAGAAACTGCACGAGTATCGGGAACGAACACGAGTCCGCCCTGATCTGGACGACAAGATCATTGTCGCCTGGAACGGGCTAGCCATTGGGGCACTCGCCAAATGCAGTGCTCTGTTTGAGCACATTGAAAGCTCCAAGGCAGAGCAGTGCAGGGAGGCAGCGGCAAAAGCAATTAGCTTTATCAAAAATGATCTTTATGATAAACCAACCGGGCAACTGTGGCGTATTTATCGCGATGGTGGCGAGGTGATACTCCAGGCTTTGCTGACGACTACGCTTATTTGATTAGCGGCTTGTTGGATATGTATGAGGCAACATTTGATGACAGCTATCTGCAGTTCGCAGAACAGCTTCAGAGTAGGTGTTCTGTCAGACCCTCATCTTATAGATACTAACATTACTACCAGAATATCTGAACAAGAATTTCCTTGCATATGTGGGATCGACTCCGGCAGGTTACTACAGTACACCGTCCAACATGACATCAGACATGCCAGGTCCTCTGCTTCGCTTAAAGACCGGAACCGAGTCGGCCACTCCATCAGTTAACGGAGCCATTGCGCGCAATCTGTTGCGACTCGCCAACCTGCTCGAGGACGAAGACTACCGGCTGCTCTGTCGTCAAACATGCCATTCCTTCGCAGTCGAGATCCTGCAGCACCCCTTCCTCTACGTGGGACTGCTTGATGCAATTGCCGGACTGGAAGCTGGCTCGCGAAACTTCACAGGCGTTCTCTCTACAACACTTCTTCCCCAGGCCGGGCCCGGGTCGTCAGACTGTCTCAATAGCAAGTCCGACGAGCCAACATCCGTGCGGGACCTCATTGTACAGAGACTTCGGGCAAAAGCCGGTCAGGCGATATCAACCTCAACGACCACCGTTTCCCTCATTGACATCCGCCCTTCCCACTTGGGAGACTTCGTAGGTAATCAGTCATTCTGGCTGCGGACTCGGAATAAGCTCTACAAAGACCTGAAGCCGAGTGAGCCAGTGAAAAACTATTTACTTGTATGTGAGGGGGGTAGTTGCAAGATGGTGGATATATGATTCTGCAGGTTTTGCTTTTGCGACCGACCTTTCTCATTACTTTCCGTACAGGGGCTATCTATGTTCTTCTAGTTTATGGATTTGGAGGCTTTCTGCATTAGCAATTGGTTCATTGTCTGTTTTTCGAGTCTGGACAGGATGGCTATACTCAGACGCGCAGTACCATTACATAGGAAATTAGCAACGAATATACTTCCACATACAAAAAAAACGTATTATCTTTTCCAGAAATATGAAGGGGAGACAAGGAACAAACACATGCCTTACATTCATCACACCGGTATAAAGCACACTCACAAAATCTTCACACTAAACAAATAACCAGAGCTACACAATCATACCCAAACAAGAAAATACACAGAACCACCTCCGACTCCAAATAGTAAATCCCAAATAAACCCGGTAGTAGATACACAATAAGCCCAGCACGCGATCAGACATAGATCGAAGATCGCAGAAAACCCAGGCCGACAACACCTTGTTTCACATAAATTAAGCACGGTAATTACCCCTCGCCGATCGCCTCGCCACTTATCTCAGCATCTGATATATCTGACGATAATCGATCCCGTGTGTGGACAGCCCCAATTAATCATCTTGTCTTATATTATGGGGTTAAGGGCTGCAATGTGGGTCTCGGGGCTGAAACACAGTATACAGGTAGATGAGGCATTTTAGGCGCCTGGATCGGTCGCGTATTCGGGGTGAGGTAGCTTCTGTGGAGTAGGGTTCTGTGAGTAAGCTTTTACTCGCGTGTGTGTATATGATGGTTGTGCTTGTATGTGGTTGAATGGGTGGTGTGTGGTGATGGTGGTTGTGTTTGCTATATATCTTGGTTGTTGGGGATTTACTGATCTGTACTTGTGCGTACGGATCTCTATCTTGTGTTTGCTTGTTTGGTGTAGATTATAATGAGTATTTTAAGTATTGATCTTTTTGATTATAAGTATTGGCAATCCTTGTTTGTTAGTAGGTTGATGGGGGTAGCTTTAGTGGAATGATAGAGTTGGTAGAAAAAGTAGGCTGATGAAGTAGACATGGAGGATCTAATAGACTGACTCTACGGATTGAGCAGAAACAATTCTAGTATATTAACAGGCTCAGCGAATTCGGTAGAATATTAGTTTCAAAATGAAGGAGAAAATTGAGTCGGAAGGGTTGTTAGCATTGGGTGTACTCCGTAGTGCAGTTACTGAACACAGAGAATGTGAGAGGTACCACATCCGATATCATAACGACGATCGATGCTTCGCTGGTGAAGAGGAATTAAGACATTAGAAGTGGAACATTGCCGGGTTAGTGGATTGGTTGTCTCGTCAGGGTATAAAATATTTGTTTCTCATTTGGAGGAGT